TGCCTGCCATGGTGGGATGAGCCATGTTTGCCCATCCCTCCTTCTTTCCCTCTGGCAGTGTGAGCAGCCACGACCGTGGCCAGACCTACAGTGCGGAGTGGTCCGATGACGAAGGCAGCAACTCCTTCAATGCCAGCGAGGCCAACGGGGGCACCAACCCCTTCGACGAGGAGTCGTCGGCGAAGGGCGTGCGGGTGCGGGCCCTGTATGACTACGACGGGCAGGAGCAGGACGAGCTCAGCTTCAAAGCAGGTAGGTCCCTTGGGGTGCTGGGTCCCCAGAACATCTCTGCCAGAGCAGGTCTCCTGAGGGGCCACCCTTGCTTTTCTGCCCTACGATCCCGAGTGCCAAGGGTCAATCCTACAAGTCCTCAGGGCAGAATAGGAGGCATCAGGAGAGGCTTCATGTGCTCCACAACAATCTTCCCCTTTCTACCTTTGGCTTCAGGTGATGAACTAACCAAACTAGGTGAAGAAGATGAGCAGGGATGGTGCAAAGGGCGCTTGGACAACGGGCAGCTAGGTCTCTACCCAGCCAACTACGTGGAGGCTATCTAAGTCTTGTGGTGTTCTCCTCGTTGCCGTCAGCAGATAAATCCACCCTCCGTTGTCTCCATCTTTCCACCAGCCAACCAGCCATTTCGCCGTCTGGTCGTTCACTCCTCACAGTTAGAGAGTCAGACATATTTTCCGATCAAGCTTTTATTTTTTTAAGAGTTGTCTCTGAAGAGTATTTTGCATAGTTGCTTTTTTTCTTCTTCTAAGATAATGTGAAGCAAAAGATGACGTCATCCGTCTTCTACTTTAGTTGGTTTTCCAAGGGAAATCCAACACCTCAAGATCTTAAAGCCCAACCAGTGAGAGCTTCTGACTGGTTGGTTTTTAAAGATACTGAAATCAAGAGCCACCTTCTGATTGACTTGAACTGATCTGAAACACACAGCGCTCCTGGGACCAATCAAAAACGAGAGGAAATGGAGTTTTACTCCATTTATTTATTGACGTTCTCAAATTCTTCTCCCCAGTTCATCCCTCCTCAACAGAAGGGATGAACATCCTCCTCCTTC